GGGTCCTGACCACTGAAGAACAGGGTAAAAGGGGGCTAACAAAGTATCAGAGAAACAGATGGACTACAGTCTGTAACTGTAGAACTACAAAGTGCACCTATATAGTAAGTGGAGCTGATAAAATGGACAATGAGCGTAGGAACAAGGAGGTGCCTGAGCTGCCCAGCAAAACACAAAAAATAACCGTTTAATTCCTGCTCTGTGAGCCTGATGACCACGATCGCTGTGATATTTCAACAAAGAATAAAGTATTTATGAATAGACTGTGTCAGATATTGGATGTCAGTTCTCCTTGTTCCCCATGGAACTGGGCGGGTGGGACAAAAGATTCTGATTTTCTGTGGAAGCAGGACTGAAAAAACAGACCTCTACTACACACAAGCCTCAACAACTAAATCTAATCTGTTCGGCGTTTGACTCTTTCCCTTCATTCCAGCTTCCATTTTTTTCCGGAGCCTCACTTTCAGTTTCCCAAAGAATCTGCAGACACACCTCCAAAGTTCACACCAAGTACAATTTTTTGGATAAAATAACAAACGCGTTTTTTAAAGTAGTTGGACCTTCAAACCACGTCTGATGAGTTTTTATTCTGAAAACGCGGGAGCAGCAGCGAGGATGAACTCACCATTTTTCTTTTAAGCCTCACACTGGGTTCTACAGAACTGCATAGAAGAGACAAGAACGTGTGGAGCTCCTCCGCCTCATACAGGAGCTGAACTCCAAAGTTATTTTCATCTCACTGGGGGAGGCTCGGCTTCTGCTTGCCGCTCCTCTCGTTAAAAAAGAGCAAACGAAGAACATCGACCCTCTTCTCTTTCTCATAAATGTGTTGCAGAGATTTCAGAAGGTTTTTTAACATCGTCAGCTACAAAAAAAAGACAAATTCCCAGCCATTCAGCTTTGGTCCACCATATCATTTCTTTAACCTCCGCATTTTAACAGTCAGTGTGTTGCTTGTCGTATGTGATGCACATCTTTTTGGGCTGCAACCATGACAACCGAGCTCTGACTGGTCAGCCTAATTTTAATGCATCAGTTAAACAGCGAAAATCAAGCAGGGTCCGATTAAAAACTACGCAGCGTCGCAGTCCATCGGTTTCAGACTCGGCGTGAAAGACAGTATTAAATTTCAAAACTTGCCACGTGCTTTTCCCGGGGTGAAAAGACCTTCAGAGGTTGGTTTTGCACTTTCAGCTTCTCACAATCCAATTAATCTCAATTAAAAATGTAGACTTATCAGTCCATAAAGGCTTAGTCCAGACGTGTCCAGCTATTTCTGAAAATGTAGTTATTTTGTCTGTGTTTTGGCCTCCAATCCACACAACAGCAGCGTTTTCTTTCACTGAAAATAAAGATTTTTTGAAAACGCTCTCCAAATGTGGTGATTTTTTAAAACTGCGTTTTTAGTGCTTTTTGAACTTTTTGAAAACGCTGACATCCCGTCAGTAACGTGTGCAGGTCTGCAGCTGTATACAGACCTCTGTCTGAAATATGACTGGGTAGTTTCAGTGCGCTCTGCAATTTGGGCTGATTTGGGAGTTGATATCATGTACTATAACTGAATTTGCCTGTTTTATTAAACCCGCAGCACAGAGGCAGCGAAACATCCAGCACTCGGTTCTTGTAAACGTGGCATGAAATCGAGCGCAAATATTAAAAATACATCAATGATTCTAAACACTGGTGATGCTTTGTCTGAAAAAGCCCTAATTGGCTAAGAACCAAAGGCTTTAGCTGTTCTTGGCTGGGGGTAAAAGGGCTACATGGAACGGTCATTCCCCAAAGTGAGCTTCAGGTCAGTGAGCTAATCTTTCTGTCCACTATGTGGCAGCGGGTCACTCTGTATGTGAACTGAAAGCCAAACTAATAACATCAATAATCTTAAACCTGTGAGTAATAAAGTTTTCGCCTTCGTCTATCATCTCTCTCTCTTTCTCGCGTGCACACTCGTCATTCCAAGCTGCCCTTCATGAGTTTCTTTGTAACATGTGGTAGCTGCGGTCACACCGCGAGATTCTGGACCACAATTTCAGACGCTGCCAGAACTTTATTGTAAGCTGCCTTTGGCCGCAGAGGCAGTACATCGGTCGCCAGGGAGCAACTTCACATTAAACATTCACAAACTCTTCACATTCAACTCCACAAACTCTTTTTTTCCCCACTTATTTTCCTCTGACTTTATTCTTCCTTATGAAAGTGGATTATCTTCTATATAACCTCCTCAGAAATATCTCCTTCAGTCATTTCAGATGGACATGAAAGAAACGGTAACTACTGAAGCTTCTGTGTCATTTTCTGTTAAATATATGCTTAACAGCGTTCAGTGGTGGACAGTAACGAAGTCAACGTAATTCGTTACTGTACTTAAGTAGTTTTACTGAATTATTTCCATTTTGGGTGACTTTTTACTTTCACTCCACCACATTTCAAAGTCAAATATCTCACTTTTTACTCCACATTATGAGAAATCTGTCATTCCTTTTGGTTTATGTGTGTATAAAAACGTAACATGTCAAAACAAAAGAAGAGCAAAGTAAGAACACCAATCAGGGCACAGCGCTCACTTTGTTTTGAGCTTGTTTTGACCTGTTGGTCATACCGACCCAGTGCAGCACACGGTTCAACATCAGCACAGCAGCGTAAAATTTTGGGAGAGTCTATTCAACATAAATGATGAACTAACCTAACTTTGTGTAAACAGACCACAGTATAGAAATATGTACACATATGCAGTTGTGACTGACGTGTCTTTATTCTGAATTTATACAAACACATTTCATTTTATAGTAAATTAGTTTTGTCTAGTTTATGTTTATGAACAGAGACCTACAGATGCAGCTTAGTAAAGGAAACTCATTTGTGAATCTGAGTTTAAAGTTTTTATTAAACTTAAACTTGCAAATAAATCTTAAACTGAAACTTTGCTTGTTTGTAAAAAGTGATTTCAGAGCCACTCAGTTCTACCTGATGGAAACTGTTTGCCTTCAGTGTTTTGTGCTTATGATAATTTTAATAGACATCAGCGTCACTAATTAATGACTCTGTTAAACGACTGGTTTACCAAGAGAGACACTGGAGTATTTTCACCTATAATGAGTTAATGAAGCAGAGTCTTGTTATAAAAATGATAATAGGACATCAGAGCCATAATTAATCTTTTAGTACTTTTACTTTCGATACTTAAGTACATTTGAAGGTGAATACTTTTGTACTGTTACTCAAGTGGAGGTCTAAAAGGAGGAACTTCTACTTTTACTGCAGTAATATTTTACCTTGGGTGTCTCTACTTTAACCCAAGTATGTGGTTTGTGTACTTCGTCCACCACTGAGAGCGTTTATAAATATGTTTAAATGGAAAATAAATATCTACAAAAATCAATACAGCACTGTAGACTGAATGGGCCTCAATTACCAGCTGTTCTTAAGAAAAAAATTCTTCTTAAAACCCACTTTTAACAAAGTTTTCACAAAGATTCTGACATTCACCAGTGTTTCCTTATCTGGGATTTGTTCTTAGGTAAGAACTGAATCTACACACACTCAAGAGCACAAAGGTGAGAACAGTTCTGCGCTTCAAGAACACGTCATGAACCTGACATAGAACCTCTCACAAGAATATATTTAAGAAAAAACCTAGGAAGATGTTGGTAAATGAGGCCCAATGTTACTGATAGGAACTGTATCATAATGTATTGTGAAAAATTTGACCACTTTCCCTCTTAAAGTCATAAACCGCCCACACTATGAAGTCATTTTTTAATATTAAAAATATTAATTTTTTTATATTAACCAACTACATTTAAATTTCCTTCCCATAGAGACAGGAAAAAACACCCAGACTGGGACTAAAATGCAGTGTCATTGGTGATGAATCACTGAAACCCCCTTTTTCTTTAGCCTTTGAGTCTAGATTAAGGCTTAATCTAGGTCTGAGAAACTGGCCTAGCAGCCAGAAGAAAGCCTGCTGTAAATTCTCTCTATATCGGGTTTCTTTACCTATACAGTCCTGTTCAGGTACAACAAACCTTAAAGGGGAATTCCACCAATTTTAAAAAAATTCCACATAATTAAGCAGTTAAGATGTAAACAGAGTCATTCAGAGTGGTTTGGTGTGAAACGCTCTGTTCCAGAGAAACTTACCGAGTCAGAACTGTTCACAGTGGTGGTGATAGGAACCAGACGTCCACCTCTAAAAGCTCCCTCACAGAAAGTTACTACATGAAATGGTTATGAATTCACTGCCTGATGACTGAGATGCTGTTTTATGATAGTTTTGAGAAGATTTTGGTCATTTTTAACTCTATTCATGGTGGAGGGATACATGCAGGGTGTTGAGAGGCAAAATAGTCCCCAAAGAAAACTTATTATTTTCAGATTTTCCACTATTTTCCATCATCAACATTCCATATAAACTCAGAAGACTCGTGTTGGTTCACTGGTGGTTCTGGATAGTAAATAAAATGTCTATATTTGTGTTGTAGTCATGGCGACCCCTGGTTCCTATCACCACCACTGTAAAGACATCTGAACCATTTCACACCAAACCACTCTGAATCTCTCTGTTTACATCTTAATGACTGGATTTTAAGGTTTCATTCACTCAGCTCTGCATACTCTTCAAACCTGGAAGCTACAACTTCTACTCAAGTTACATTCCTGAGTAAAGTGATCTACTTTTCCCTCAGGTCCACTTTAGCTCCCATTTCTACCACTTTATTGGGGTTTAATATTCTTTTGATGTGTTGGTTCAGCTCCTGGACCTCTTTGCTGCCACTTTAATTTAATTTTAGACCAAACAGATCCAAAAAAGAGACGATTAGAGCCCAATAAACAGCTTCTATGCTGCTAACGAGATGCTGGATGGACTAAGAAGCTCCACTGAAGTTATACAAGAAACTGAAACCTAAGAAGGACCTGGACCTCCTTGTGATTAAGCTGAGTTTGGCCTGTATTGTTACTCCTAACTGAGATAATTTGGGTTTATCACTTCTTCTCCTCACCTCTGTCCACGACTTGCTCCCCTTCCACCAGTCTGTGGCTCCACTCCTCCATCAGCTCCTTCTGCTTGGGGTCCATCTCTTCTCCTCCAACCCGGCCTTTCCTGGACCTACAGCCAGAACCACATAAAAGAAGCCTCCCTTCCAGCACCTTCCTCCAGATGACACTATAAACCGAGCTGAAGAGGGGACGGTGTCATGAAAAGCCAGATAAGAGCCTCTCTCCATCTCGCAGCTCCAGAGACTCCAGTAGCCATATTTGTTACCCAACACTGTTCACTTGAAGCCAGTAAAGAAACAAAGTAGCGCCTTTCTCTTCACGAAATCCTCACATTGTGCCGCTTTTCCCCCATCAGAACACCCCCGGACTCGTCCATCCGCCACTAAACTTTCACTCTGACCTACTGCATTGTTAAAAACACCGAGTTAAAACAGTTTTCCAGAAAAGTCGTGTCACTCTTCCAAGTGTTGTCCAGAAAGCCTGTGGGAGCTCCGCCATGTCTCAGCCAATCAGCGGCCGCAGCGAGCCGCCAATCAAAACTTAGAGCCCTGACCAAGTAAGGCAAAGGGGGCGGGACTTCAGCGCAATCGCCAAATATGGTCAAAATAGGCGGGGCTTCCGGCGAAACGTACCTGGGCCGCTTAGGCTCGTTATTTATTGGAATTCAGTGATGGAGACAAAAAGCAGGAATGGGCCCATTGGATGCAGTTAAATCTGAAATTTAGTCGATATATCTGGTATTTCTCATTTTTTTGGATTTTTAATCTTAATATTATAAGACTATTATTTATTTAAAGTCATATTTAACTTCAGTAATTTTATTAAACTGAGTTATCTCACTACATTGGTAGATATTTGTGCTTCTTTTACAATATAATGTTTGAAAAATGCAAAGTTATCTGCCAATATAGTGAAATGATTTGGCACAGAGTAACATGGAACTAAAGTAATGAGTACACGCTTAAAAACGATGGTTCTCCAAGGGGTTCTTTAGTGAAGAAAATGGTTCTATATAGAACCATGAGCACTCAAGGAATCCTTTGCATGATTAAGTGATTCTTTGCATGGTGAACTGGTTCCTCAGATTGATGGAGAATGTGTTGTAGATGGTTCTATATAGAACCTGAAAATGGTTCTATGTTGCACCAAAAGTGCATTTTCTATTATTACAAGCTTGACATTGTAACAGTAGCAGAACCTCATTTGGTGCTATATAGAACCCTACATTCTGTATAGAACTATATTCAACCAATTCTCTATCAACCTGAAGAACCCTTTAATTGTGCAAAGGGTTCTGTGAGTGTTCATGGTTTGATATAGAACTCTTTTCTTTACTGAAGAACCCTTAAAGAACCATCATTTTTAAGTGTAAATCTTTGCATAGTGCAAAAACCGTGTTTGTGAGAATGTATCTATTAATCTTTATAATCTTTATCCTTTATAATCTGTGGGAATAAATATGATAATATTGTTTGCGGGAATAAATATGTAGGTTTGTGTTATTTGTGAGCATATATTTAATTTTTTTGCTTTTATTTATGGAAAATGTCTATTTATCTTTATTATTTGTGAGAATAAACCTGTTTAGGTTTGTTTTATGTGTATCTGTGAGAATTAATCTGTGACAAAAGAGCAAAACACTACAGCATCAATTATTATACACAGTTTGACCTGCTGTAGCACCACAGGGAAACACTCTCAGAAATAAAGGTACTAAACTGTCACTGGGTCAGTTCCCCTCTCATCACTGGGGTGGGACCCTCTAGAGTCCGTCTCAGTACCTTCAGTCAGGGAACATAACTGAACCATAATCCACTGAAATGATATGTTCTAAGCTGTACTGACTCCACACACCCCGTCTCGTCTCCAGGCTTTTATTACTGTTCTGTTTAAAACATTCGGTTATGAAAAGGTACAAATACGAACTTTTCACCTGGAGAAACTTATTTAAGGTTCACAATCAGACCTTAAAACCACTGTTGGAGCTTTGAGGGAACATTTACACTGTTTGTACCTTGATGAACGGAAAATGTACCTTTATTTCTAACAGTGTATGATATATGAACAATACAAAATAATTAAGGATGCACGAGTGTTTGTTAATTGATTTAAGAGAAAAGCAGATCATTTTGTGTTGTTTTCTGATTTGAATCATAAATTCATAAAAGTGTTTTTCAGCTCTAACACCTCATAAAGGTGTGTGGTAGAAAATATACACTCACTGAGCACTTTATTAGGAACACCTCCTTGTTTCTACACTCATTGTCCATTTGATCAGCTCCACTTACTATATAGGTGCACTTTGTAGTTCCACAGTTACAGACTGTAGTCCATCTGTTTCTCTGATACTTTGTTAGCCCCCTTTTAGCCTGTTCTTCAGTGGTCAGGACCCCCATGGACCCTCACAGAGCAGGTACTATTTGGGTGGTGGATCATTCTCAGCACTGCAGTAACACTGACGTGGTGGTGGTGTGTTAGTGTGTGTTGTGCTGGTACGAGTGGATCAGACACAGCAGTGCTGCTGGAGTTTTTAAACACTGTGTCCACTCACTGTCCACTCTATTAGACACTCCTATCTTGTCAGTCCACCTTGTAGATGTAAAGTCAGAGACGATAGCTCATCTGCTGCTGCACAGTTTGTGGTGGTCATCCTCTAGTCCTTCATCAGTGGTCACAGGACGCTGTTGGCTGGATGTTTTTGGTTGGTGGACTATTCTCAGTCCAGCAGTGACACTGAGCTGTTTAAAAACTCCAGCAGCACTGCTGTGTCTGATCCACTCAGACCAGCGCAACACACACTAACACACCACCACCACGTCAGTGTTACTGCAGTGCTGAGAATGATCCAACATTTTTTTTTTAGAGGTGGACGTAAGTTTCTGTAAGTTTCTCCAGAACAAAACATTTCACACCAAACCACTCTGAACAACTCATAACCATTTAATTATGGAGAAAATTGGTGGAGTTACCCTTAATGTACCAACTTACTTTTGGTCCCTGAAATGTGGGACTGTGTATAAACAGCTGTGGCTGAAAAATGGTTCACTCAGCTGTATGTTCTAAAGCAGGTCTGTGAGGAGATGATGTGGGCGTGGTCTTCTTGAGGTTCTTGTCATGTTTAAATCTTTCATCTTGCACGATGAAACGCTCCCACGAGCAGATCAGAGCGCCTGGCTGGAAATCCTGCAGAATCAGCAGCACAAAGAATCATAACCTACATAAACATAAACACCAAACATTTAAACGTTTCCTGTTTCCTTGTTTCTCATTTTCCCCTATTTTTCTCACATTATATGTCTTTTCAAGTTCTATTTGAAACAGAATTCAAGCATTTTAGCATCAGCCATTAAATGAAATTGTCTTTGAAATGATCAGAAAACATATATTAGATCAAATATCTCCATTTTTGACTGATGCTGGAGATCTTATATACATTTTTTGTTTGATTTTCCTCTATGAAGGCATATAATTTGGCCTTCCTGTAGTTATTTTGCTATTAATTATTTAAAAAATACCAAATAAGCCATAAAACAGCAAGAGCAACCAATCCGGAGACAGTCTGAGACAGGCAGACAGACAGACATGCTCAGTCTGCTGCTCCAGTTTCCCTCTACCAGGTCAGCATGAGGCCGTCAAAGGACAATAGCTGGTTTTCACAGTCATTAGATTAGAACAGACGGTCCAATCAGACACACAGAGACGCCTAAAGATCTGCAAAAAATACCATTAACACTGTTAGAAATATCCCTGGCCCAATCTAGGACACCTGCACTCTTAAAAACGATGGTTCTCCAAGGGTTCTTCAGTAAAGACAATGGTTCTATATAGAACCATGAACACTCAAAGAACAATTTGCATGACTGAATGGTGCTTTGCATGGTGAAATGGTTTTTCAGATAGATGGAGAATGTTTCTATGGTTCTGTATAGAATCTTGAAAGTGGTACTACATAGCACCAAAAAGGGTTCTTCTATTGTTACAAGCTGGACACGGTAATAATAGCAGAACCCTTTTTGGCGCTATATAGAACCATATACAACAAACGCTCCATCAATCTGAAGAACCATTTCACCATGCAGAGAAACCTCTAACCATGCAAGTGGTTCTTGGAGTGTTCATGGTTCTACATAGAGCCATTCTGTTTATGAAAGAACCCTTGAATAACCATCTTTTTTAAAAGTGTGGGGCCCACAACTTTCTGGTTGCTGGCTGTGTGTCGGGATGTGGGTTTAGTTAGTGTGTTTTGTGTTGGGGGTCGGTCTATCGTGAGGGTGAAGCCTGTCGCAAGTAATGACCTCCACAATGGGTTTGTGTTTACATGCCTTTCTGCCCTGGTGTTTAAGTACTTCTCGTGGTGGAATCATGGCCTCCTGTGTGTTACTCTATGCTGATGCTACATTGGTGTCAGAAGTGGGACTGGAGTGGAACTGCACTACAAAGAACTTCAAGGCAGGTGGCAAAATAGGCCTGAGCCTGCGATGGTGAGGACAGTGCTGCGAGGCTCTGAGGGGCACATGACCTAGTGAGAGGGCTTGACGACAAAGTACCGGAACAGCGAGGCTTGAAGTCGGGCCAGTGTGGCAATGCGCAACGGTGGTGCTGGTGAGAGGGAGGCCGGTGAAAGTGGAACCGTTGAAGGCTTTGGTGTGGTAGTGCCACAGCGAGCAACAGAGCAGTTCGTGTACTCGAGCACACCAAAAGAGGCACATCAAACATCTGGAAGGCAACCATCGTCCAGGTCAGATCACTCACCAGCAGCAGAGGCAAGGCTCCAGTACATACGAGCAGCCAACATGCCAGAGCTGATGGCGCGGTGGGCAGCAGAGAAAGTGGATGGCATCCTGTGGGCAGCGTCCTGTGACCACTGATGAAGGAGTAGAGGATGACCAACACAAACTGTGCAGCAGCAGATGAGCTATCGTCTCTGACTTTACATCTACAAGGTGGACTGACAAGGTAGGAGTGTCTAAGAGTGGACAGTGAGTGGACACAGTGTTTAAAAACTCCAGCAGCACTGCTGTGTCTGATCCACTCAGACCAGCGCAACACACACTAACACATCACCGCCACGTCAGTGTTACTGCAGTGCTGGGAATGATCCACCACCCAAATAGTACCTGCTCTGTAAGGGGCCATGGGGGTCCTGACCACTGAAGAACAGGGTAAAAGGGGGCTAACAAAGTATCAGAGAAACAGATGGACTACAGTCTGTAACTGTAGAACTACAAAGTGCACCTATATAGTAAGTGGAGCTGATAAAATGGACAATGAGCGTAGAAACAAGGAGGTGGTCAGAATGTTATTCCTGATCGGGGTGTGTTTGTCAATCAACCTATCAATCTGTCTATTAAGCTGCAACTAGATATCTACCTTTCTAGTGTACAATCAAACAGTCTATCTATCTATCTACTCATAATTTTATACACAAACAAAATTTAAATATACATACCACAATACCCCGATATACAGTGGGGTCCAAAATTCTTCTATTTTGCATTCTTTCCTAATGTCTTTACAGTGGTGGTGATAGGAACCAGGGGTCGCCATGACTACAACACAAATATAGACATTTTATTTACTATCCAGAACCACCAGAGAACCTACACGAGTCTTCTGAGTTTATATGGAATGTTGATGATGGAAAATAGTGGAAAATCTGAAATAATCAGTTTTCTTTGGGGACTATTTTGCCTCACAGCGCCCTGCATGTATCCCTCCACCATGAATGGAGTTTAAAAATACAATTCAGGCCAAAATCTTTTCAAAACTATAGTAAAAGTATCTCAGACATCATATTGTATTCATATTGTGGTGAATTCATAACCATTTCATGTAGTAACTTTCTGTGAGGGAGCTTTCAGAGGAGGACGTCTGGTTCCTATCACCACCACTGTGAGCGGAGTATTTAATATCAAACAACTCTGAATGACTTTGTTTACGTCTCAACAGTGAATTATGCAGAAGTTACAACAAATCTATGGAAGTCCACTTTAAAACGGTCACTGCTTTGCTGCAATTTTAGTCATGGCCTAGAAATATAGCATCTTCGTTATACTTGTCATAACTATTATTTATTTTCATTCAAATTTCTGTTGTTAATTTCCAGGTTTAATTTTTTTTAATGTGGCACTGCAGGTTCCTTTTTCTCCGTTTTAACATACCCAACATCATCATGAAAACCACTCAAAACACACAGTAATAAAAGAGACAGACTGGTTATTCTTCAGTGAGCTTCTTTATTATCATCCACTCTTAAATCTTCCTTTTCATCAGAGCCACACAGAACAACACACAGCACATGCCTGGCGTTAGTACACAATCAGCTGCTTTAGTAAACAGAGTGCATAGGCAAGAACAGAGAACTACACCAGCAGGGGGCGCACACAGTGGTTATTACAGCCCTGAGACAGCGCTAAGGCCAGGGAACGTACAAGCCGAAGGAAAAGGGACTGGACTGCCCTCTACTGGACAACAACAACACAGCATTTAGTTTAGGAGGAAAGAAATGGACACTTTAAACAAGAGCAAAATTATAACAGCAATGAGTTATTAACCCTTTAAACTACAGACGTATTGGTCACTTATACATCCTAACTGCTACAAAAACTATTAGACATTATTCAGTATCTACCATAAAGCTAATGTGTAGGTTCTGTAGTTATGACAGTAAGAAATACAAGCATACAGACCTTTAATGAGTATATTAATATTAATTAGTTATTTCAATCTCTGTTCCAGTTGTGGCACATTTTGCAAGCCAAGAGAGGAAAACGCGTATTTGTGCACTCCATGGCCACTTTATCGGAAACCCCGCCTTGCTCCTCATCTGTCGATGCGCAGTTTGTGTTATGTTTCTGACCACAGAGCTGCTCTGGCTGGATATTTTTGGGCAGTGGACCAAATAATATCTGGATATCAGAAACTGAGCAGTGATGAATATGGTAGAGGGGGTTAATAAATCGTGTAGCAAGGTAGGTGTTTCTAATAAAGTGGCCAGTTACCAGAAGTAAAAGCTAGGGGTTTCCAATAAAGCGGCCAATGAGTGTACAAACAGCAGGGATGATTAGGCACCTTCATTTTGATTTGACTATTATAAACACAAATGTAAAATGACACATATTTTCATAGAGATGTTGTCTACAAGGCGCTATGAATGTCACAAGTGTGATAAGGCAATGAGAGGCTGATTGTATTTTATGTGTAACATGGTCCGTTTTTGGTTACGAGCTGATATAATCCAGAAATATATAATATAAAATGCTTCAAACTCTTCACAATCCAACATGCTGTCATGCACCACTCTGTATATAAAAATCAGTATGTATGCAAAATGTATATATATATATATATATACACACACACACATACATATATATATATATATATATATATATATTCATTGTTATGCTAATAAAAAATGGACCACTATAGTGTAATTTCTGGGCTAATTTGGCACCAGTGCAGCTAAAGCTGGTGGGGCCCCTGGATATGTGGGTAGGAGGATGATTATGATTGGCGGGCGTCTGATGGTCTTGTACATTTTCACTTTCTCTCTTAGTCACTTCCTCCACACAGCTTCAGCAGCAGCTTCTTGTAGTCTCCAGATGTGTCGCTCTGCACACACACACACACACACACACACACACACACACACACACACACACTTAGTTTATTCTCAATGCTCAGATATCTAGAACAGCCTGTCCATGTGGATAATTACAAAGATTTGATTGATTTAGGCAGTTTTGTCAAACCCTTCACAGCTACACTATATGGCCAAAAGTATGTGGACGCCCCTCCTAATTATCGAGCTTGACATCGTAATAACAGCAGAACCTTTTTTGGTACTATACAGAACCATATACTACTCATTTTTTCCATCAGTCTGAAGAACCATTTCACCACAGAGAGAAACCTCTAAGCATGCAAATGGTTCTTTGATGGTTCTATATAGAACCATTCCCTTTACTAAAGAACCCTTGAAGAACCATCTTTTTTTAAGAGTGTGGGGCCCGACAACTTTCTGGTTGCTGGCTCATCTCTTCTACCACGAGTTGGCAAACTTTGCTGTTGGCACTGTGCATTCTGGTAGGTGACGTTCTCCTGACATCCACCAAACCCAGATTCATCCACCAGACTGACAGATGGAGAAGCGTGAATTCATCACTCCAGAGAACACGTTCTTTACACCACTCCAGCCGACACTTGGCATTGTGCATAGTGATCTTAGGCTTGCGTGTAGCTGCTCGGTCATGGAAACCCATTTCATGAAGGTCCTGACGAATAGTTCAGGTGCTAACAGGTGTATAAAATCAAGCATATAGCCATCAGTCTTGATAGACGAACACTGGCAGTAGGATGGGTCATAGGATGCCACCTGAAATGGACACGTCTGTCCAAGTGGAACAACACCTCAGCTACGAAACGGTAAACGATGCAAACTCAAAACCACCTATTCTCTGTTGCATCCCTCACTACAGTTCCAAACCGGCTCTGGAAGCAAAAACAGCACAACTGTGTGTTGGCAGCTTCATGAAATGGGTTTCCATAACTGAGCAGCTGCAAACAAGCCTAAAATCATTATGCACAAAGTGTCGGCTGGAGTGGTGTAAAGCGCCGCCACTGGACTCTGGAGCAGTGGAACCGTGTTCTCTGGAGTGATGAATCAGCTTCACTATCTGTCAGTCTGATGATCTGGGTTTGGTGGATGGCAGGAGAACGTTCCCTGCCGGAATGCAGAGCCAACGGTACAGTTTGGTGGAGGAGGGATGATGGGCTGGGCTGTTTCTCAGGGTCCCTCAGTTCCAGTGAAGGGTGATGTTGATGCTGCAGCACAAAGACATTTTACACAGTTATCTGCTTCCAGCTTTGTGTCAGCAGTTTGCTGTTCCAGCATGACTGAGCCCCTGTGCACAAAGCAGCTCCATAAAGACAGGGTTTGACCAGTTTGGTGCGGAGGGGCTCCAGTGTCCTGCACAGAGCCCTGACCTCAACCCCAGTGAACACCTTTGGGCTTAACTGGCAACAGAATCAGAGAGGGAATCGCTTTGGCTACGTCCCTATTTAGTGCTTTAGTGGTGGTTTGGGACGCAGCCTTTTTCTCTTTTTCAGGCAGAAACAGGTGGGGTTATATTGGAAAAAACTAACAAAGACCACCGCATCGTTTTGGCCAACAATGCTTTGGTTTGCTTTGGAGCATCATTGGCTGAGTTTACCATCAGCCAGTTTTCTCAGACACAGTCAGACTCTGGCGCAGGAGACCTTTAATGAACATATGTGTGTGTAAACTCACAGATATATCTGTGTAGAGAGATTTTCCGTAGTTGCGCAGGTACTCCTGCCTGATGTCCAGCATGTCGACCTCAGAGCGGGTCACCATGATACGGATCAGTGTGCGGTCCTTAGTGCCCGCACCCTACACACAAACAAACACAAGATTCATACTGGATTAAAATCACTCCACATTTATTAATATCATGACCGTAAAACTACACACATTGCAGATTCATTACCTCTTTATCTCATCAGTAATCGCATAAATTACAGCACATTCCCAGGCAAATGAATTCCAGCTCTGATAGGACTTTAATCGAGACATGTTGTGTTTCAGTTTGTGTTTACTGTTTCTGTGAGTGATTGTTTGTTATTTGAGTTGAGGTCTGTACCTTCATGGCCTTGTGGAGTCTCTCAGCGAAGTAGCCGGGTGTGTTCTTAATACACTTCACTGAAAAACAAACAAACACATTAAAAACCTGCACAATCAGAGCCATTCACACCAGTGGTGGACCGTAATGGAGTAAATGTAATTTGTTACTGTACTTAAGTAGTTTTTTCCTGTATCTGTACTTTACTGAATTATTTCCATTTTGGGTGACTTTTTACTTTCACTCCACATTTCAAATTTAAATATCTCACTTTTTACTCCACATTATGAGAAATCTGTCGCTCCTTTTGGTTTATGTGTGTATAAAAACGTAACGTCAAAACAAAAGAAGCACGAAACAAGAACACCAATCAGGGCACAGAGCGCACTTTGTTTAGAGCTTGTTTTGACCTGTTGGTCATACCGACCCAGTGCAGCACACGGTTCAACATCAGTGCAGCAGCGCAAACTTTTGGGAGAGTCTATTCAACATAAATGATGAACTAACCTAACTTTGTGTAAACAGACCACAATATAGAAATATGTACACATATGCAGTTGTGACTGACGTGTCTTTATTCTGAATTTATACAAACACTTTCATTTTATAGTAAATTAGTTTTGGCTAGTTTATGTTTATGAACAGAGACCTACAGATGCAGTTTAGTAAAGGAAACTCATTTGTGAATCTGAGTTTAAAGTATTTATTAATCTTAAACTTGTAACTAAGAAATAAATCTTAAACTGAAACTTTGCTTGTTTGTAAAAAGTGATTTCAGAGCCACTCAGTTCTACCTGATGGGAACTGTTTACCTTCAGTGTTTTGTGCTTATGATAATTTTAATAGACATCAGCGTCACTAATTAATGACTCTATTAAAAGACTGGTTTACCAAGAGAGACACTGGAGTATTTTCACCTATAATGAGTTAATGAAGTGAGTCTTGTTACAGAAATGATAACAGGACATCAGAGCCATAATTAATCTTTTAGTACTTTTACTTTCGATACTTAAGTACATTTGAAGGCGAATACTTTTGTACTTTTACTCAAGTGGAGGTCTAAAGGGAGGAACTTCTACTTTTACTGGAGTAATATTTTACCTTGGGTGTCTCTACTTTAACCCAAGTTTTGGTTTAATTTCATTCAGTTGTGTCGGTTCATCTCCTGGACTGTTGCTCACGGCTCTCACTTTGGAACTTTAGCACTTTATTTTAGGCCAAAGTGAAACAAAAAAAGAGAAGAAAGTCTAACCGACTTCTGTTCCTGTACTGGCAGGTGCTGGATGGACTGAAGTTCCTCAGCACTTTTTAAACCTGATACTTTTGTACTTCTACTCAGGCTGTATTTTGGAAAGTTACTCTTATTTCACTTCAGTAAAAATACATTCACTTGAGCTCAGGTTTACACTACTGTCCTCACCTCTATCAGTTAAAAACACTTGATTTCTTAAAGCAACATTATGTAACAATTTACCTTAAAATAACAGCAGCTAAATCATTTTGATGCTACACTGACTTATAACAGTGAGAATGGCGTCTCTGTCATTGCCATTCTGGCCTGGAATGCCTGCTATAGCGCTATGTAACTTTGGAGGAGCAGCACGAGAGCCTCTCACCAGAACTGAGTAACGCTTTACAGCACCACGCCACACCAACAACTTAGATAGCTGGGTCATTCTACAGAAACGTCCATTTTTGTGTCCCTAGTGTTTACAGATACATTACACTTAAAAAAAACATGTTAGGGTTACAATTTATTTATATTTTAAAATAAAACAATAAGTTATTTTAACAGTTACACCCCTTTTTGAGCCTCAATTTAGCAATATTGGTTTTTAAATCAATTATCTAGAATTCCGAGCACCACAGAAGAGCTCGTCCTCACAGTCACGTGTGAAGGCTGAGGCCATATTTTGAAGAAAAAAAACAGTTTTCTGCAATTTTAACTACAATAATCTATACATGACTGTAAAATATATAAATGAAATGATATAAAGAAAACAAATGCCAAATAAATATTATAAAATATATAATGAAAGTTGTGGTCCCCAGGAGTCGTGTCACTGGTGTTACTGCGTAACAAAAATCTCTTATTTTGAAATAAAAGTCACACTGATGACATCACTCGACTTCCTTTTACCTGTTTTCTGAGGATCTATGAAGAAAAGCTCATGGTGAGTCCACTGAGTCTTTCAGTTATCAGAGATTTTCTCATTTAGCTCATGATTTCATATGAAGCTTTTAGCTGAAGTCACTGGTGTGACCGACTTTATTCTGAGATAACTGTGAAAAAATAGAATACAAATGGATTAAATTCCATATTTTGGTGGATATTCCCTGATTGACAACATGTGGTTTGATGCTCTGTAGCAGCCGTTTTGTAAAATGCATTGTTCATTAAAAATGTCTCTGGTGTTCCTTTATTATGTGTAACACCAATGAGGATCAGTAACACCAGTGACTCCTATGGACTTATAGAAAAGTGGACGTTTCTGTAGAATGACCCAGCTACAACAAGAAGCAGCTCGGTATTCCCAGCATGGACATCACGGCAAAGGCTGCGAAGAGACTGAAGAAGCCGATGTTGGAGTAAGCGAGGAAGAAAAAGAGAGAGAGAGAGAGAGAGAGAGAGAGAGAGAGAGAGAGAGAGAGAGAGAGAGAGAGAGAGATCGAGCAAGAGAGTGGACAAGAGTAACTTTCGGACTGGCTTTTACTTGTTGGCGAGAGCTAAAAGAGATAAAAGGACGTAGGACAGTCTCACGGCTAACGGGTAAACAGTGACGATCGGACAGTGTTCATCCCTGCCAGTATTATTTAAGACAAACTGCACCACAGGCTGTAACCTTATGTGTGTCGTCCCTGTCTCACGGAGTTTTGTTGCTTTTCCGGATGCGGAAAGTCCCAGTTCCCAGCTCAGGCTGGCATGCAGAGAAATAAATTCATCTCACGCCAAAACGTTTGGTCAGTCTGCAAATCTCACGCTAAATAAGCGCTGAAAGTTTGTAATAAAATCTTATAATATTACTGTACCTTTAAAGTCAACATGGTTCTTTCTTTTCTGATGTTCCCTTTGCTGGTGCTGTGCCAAATTCCGACTCCCCGGCAGAATCCGACTCCCTTTCACGTGCACACACGTCCCGCAGGCTCACGGACGCTAAACATTACACTCACAATTTTGGTTGTTTTCATGTACAGCATCCATATGTCTGCGTAACGCGCCTGCACATGAAGGGGAGTCGGATTCTGTATCCTTTTCAACAGCTGTCCATGAGGGGGCGCTCACAGCTCTATTTGTATTTATGACAGTGGTGAAAAAGCTAGGGGGAGCCCAAGAGCAAAAATACCAACTGCTTTAATGGACCATTTTTCCGCACTTGTTAAACCTCTGTGGTCGACAAACATGCCGGCATGTCAAATTAAATGTTTCTCAGTATTTCTATTAATATCTTTGCGATAATACAGCACAGAAACAGTTCCTGAATCTGTAGAGTCGCCCTTTCCATTCCATCTTATCACGAGATCATACGAGACTCACATCCGGAGTTATGAGCCTATGAAGAGGGGCTGAGATACACGTCATCTGCCTCTCACCATGTGGAACTGGTGGATTCGTGTGTCCGTCTACATTCTGTGCAAAACTAACCAATGGACACTCAGGAAATCAGTAAGGACTGACCCGTCATGTCAAACACTTCATTTTTCGTTCAGCTGCCTCAGACACAGACGCGAGTGGTGTGTAAAAAGCTCGCAGCTGCTGTAGCGGTTTTGGAAAGCAGTGATGAGAACATTAATCTATCGTTTTACTCATATATTCCACTACTTTTGTGAACCTCAGACTTTGGTAAACCCTCTCAAAGCACCAAAACATTTCCGTCCACATGAGTAAAGCTGTGTTTTCACAAGCGATATTAAGAATTTCTAAAACCAGATTTAATTTCTTCAGCTTTCAGGCTCAAATATCTCTTCACGCAGAGCTCCAGGTCAAAAGGGCCTCATTAGAGAGAGCTGAGACTGTTCTGAACATTTTGAAATATAATATGTGGATATAATGTCGTATGCAGGTCCCTTTAAAGGCGAATTTCTGAATATATACAAAAATCAAGAAAATGCCCTCAGACCCCGGAGTCAGTCCTCAGAGCTTACTGAGGGGGTCAGCACTCACCCACAGCCAGCATGCCGGTCTCCAGATCTCCAGACATCTCCCTGCAGATGCTCTTCTCGATCTCCTTACCGCACATCTGCTGGTACTCATGGAAAACTGCACACAACACACACACACTAACAGTTACTACACACAGGACTATTTACAGCTTCTCCAATGTCTCTGGTTCACATTATGTTCTGTTGTGCAACAGTGAAACTGCTGAAGAACAGGAAGAAAATCAAATCAGCTGCAGACGAGAAGTGAGAATAACAGCAAAGATCAGCAAATACTTGTTACTGTAATTCAAAACCTCTGTAGAACAGCGGAGAACCACGTTTCTGCTTCTCTGCAGCCCACAGGCCACAGACTCACAATCCTGATGATAAATCAGACGTTTCTGCAGTTCAGCTTCTCCTGCAGTGTGTAGCTGTGAGGCTTTGTTAGGTTGTGTATCTGCAGTGTGTTATTCAGATGTGGTTTGTTGTGTAGCTGTAAAAGATGCAGTTTGCACTGCAGTGTGTAAGGTTGTGTATCTGCAGTGTGTAAGGTTGTGTATTGTATAGGTTTGTGCATTTGTATTGTTTAGTGTTGTGTGTTTGTATTGTGTAATGCTGTGTTGTGTAGTGTTATTTATTTGTGTTGTTTAGTGTTGTGTATTTGTATTTTGTAGTACTGTGTATTTGTATTGTGTAGTACTGTGTGTTGTGTAGTGTTATTTATTTGTATTGTTTAGTGTTGTGTGTTTGTATTTTGTAGTACTGTGTATTTGTATTGTGTAGTGCTGTGTGTTATGTAGTGTTACTGATTTGTATTGTTTAGTGTTGTGTGTTTGTACACTGTGGGTCTGTGTATTTGTGTAGTGTTGTGTGACTGTATTTGTGTGGATTGTGTGTTTATATCAGTGTGCGGCTGTGTTTACCTTGTCGGAGGTGCGGTTTGCTGCGAGCACACAGGATGGCGTTAAACTGAGACTCGTCTGTTCCTACTTTATTCTCTCCTGCAGCGTAAAGTTTCTAACACAAACACACACAAACACACACAAACACACACAAACACACACAAACACACACTTCAATCTGGAAGCTGACGGAATTTAACGTGTACAGACAGTGTTCGTCACGTTTTCTACACTTTCTGTTTCTGCCTTGTTTATGGTTTGTTTATGTAAATAAGCCTGAGGCTGGTCCTCACCTGGGCATCCTGCTTGGCCATAGCAATGTCCACAGTCTCTCTCTCATCGCGGTTACCCTAAAAAGAAAAAGAGACTACGTTACCCATCATACATCACCCCCCACACAGGGTCTGAACTCTGGTGTTGAGGTGGGTGGGCAAAAAGGTAAGATCACAATAATTCTAAAGGTTTTGACGATACACGATGTCACTGTATAAATATAAATATATATGTCGCTGTCAAAAAAAAAGTCTACATTTTTTCCGATTTTCACTTTTCGACATCATTTGCACATTGTGATAGGAACCAGACGTCCACCTCTAAAAGCTCCCTCACAGAAAGTTACTATATGAAATGGTTATGAATTCACTGCCTGATGACTGAGACACTGTTTTATGATAGTTTTCCTATGAGTTTTTGCCTAAAATGTATTATTTAAACTCTATTCATGGTGGAGGGATACATGCAGGGCGCTGTGAGGCAAAATAGTCCCCAAAGAAAACAGATCATTTCAGATTTTCCACTATTTTCCATCATCAACATTCCATATAAACTCAGAAGACTCGTGTAGGTTCACTGGTGGTTCTGGATAGTAAATAAAATGTCTATATTTGTGTTGTAGTCATGGTGACCCCTGGTTCCTATCACCACCACTGTAAAGATCTCTGAACCATTTCACACCAAACCACTCTGAGTCACTCTGTTTACACCTCAACCTCACCTTTAAGTCATATTAATGCATTAACACAGTTCTCTGGTTATGCTGTATGTTATTAGATAACTGTAATTAATTGCAGGCAGAGAGACTGTGAACATAAATCACTCCCGATCCTACCTGGCACAGAGAAACCAGCAGTCTGCGGAAATGGCCTGAAGTGTCGTGCTGGATGGCGTCCTCCAGTGTTTTCCCGTATTCTGAACAACAGAGACACCTTTACTACCTGTGCATGTACCTCAGTCTGCTCCCAGCAATCTCAGCAGTGGGCAGTTACCACACACTAACTGACTGACCATGCCAGTCACTCACACACTAAAAGGCATTTTTTGACGTTTTATTCAATCAGTTATAAGTAGTATACAGTAAATATCTATTTCCAGTCATTTTTGTCAAGTGTTTCTAATGAACTGGCCAGTTAGTGGAAGCACAAGGTAGGTGTTTCTTATAAAGTGGCCAGTTAGTGGAAGCACAAGGTAGGTGTTTCTAATAAAGTGGTCAGTTAACAGAAGCACAAGGTAGGTGTTTCCAATAAAGTGGCCAGTTAGCAGAAGCACAAGGTAGGTGTTAGAGGAAACACAAGGTAGGTGTTTCTAATAAAGTGGCCAGTTAGAGGAAACACAAGGTACGTGTTTCTAATAAAGTGGCCAGTTAGAGGAAGCTCAAGGTGGCGTTTCTAATAAAATGGCCAGTTAGTGGAAGTACAAGGTAGGTGTTTCTAATAAAGTGGCCAGTTAGAGGAAGCACAAGGCAGGTGTTTCTAATAAAGTGGCCAGTTAGAGGAAAGCACAAGTTAGGTGTTTCTAATAAAGTGGCCAGTAAGTGTTTACACAATAGACTAAGTGAATCCAGGCTCTCGGAGGATAACACAGGACAGCGAAGGAGTAAAAGTCTCACCTGCTTTGTACAGCCGGTTGATCTCTTGGATCTCGGCGTTGTTCCGAGACGACAGAATCTCAATCAGACACGCCTCATCAGTTCCAGCACCCTGAACACACAAAAAACACGACACAACTCATTCATTACCTTTCCAAAAGTGAAATCTGGCAGTAATAAATACCTAATTATGTCTCTACAGATTTGGATTTGGCACTGAAATTTACTCGATGCTGTAACTGTAGACTTTCTTTGACACACACAGTTAATGTTGATGCTGCCTGTAATGTTCATTGTGTTATGTGGATCGTGCTCATTACTCTTTATTGTTTAAATACTGCCACAAGGCTGCAGGGAGCTTCTAACACGTTCAGGACACCTGCTCTCATTCTTCCAGTACAAACCCAGAGCCAAGCAGTAAAACTACAGCAGCATTAAATGGCCAACACGCATTCACCCACCCAAAAACAGAGTCATAATCCAGTTAAATTGAAAAGCATGTTTATGTTACTGCACTTGTTGGAATGACGTATGTAAATGACCTCCAAACTGCTGTAGGCTAAACAGGCAGTCGGTTGTGACTTCAGACTCATGCCAATTTCAAAATGAACTATTTTTGCAACTAAGGGGTGAGGATTAGTAAATGTTTTTAAGCAGCGGCACTGTTGAGGCCCAGAAATTAGGAGGCTATTTCAATAGTAGCCAATTGGAAAGTGGAGGCTACATTAAAGGCACAAAAGAAAACAGATTTGCTAAGTAAAAATAAAGATTATTATTATTATTATTATTGTGTTTTGTCTTTTTTTCTGTTTAGGAAAAGCGTATAATTTTAGATGACAATGTTTTGTTGATTTTCTATAAGTGTAAATGAGTTAGACGTCCTCTACAGAGACTTTACAGGAGAAGGAAAAAACCTTCTTAAATCAGACGGGAGGTTAATGGAACAAGACTTTTTTGATCTCTGCAGTTCTCTACTGTTACCTACTGTTCTCTATTGATCTCTGCAGTTCTCTACTGTTACCTACTGTTCTCTGTTGATCTCTGCAGTTCTCTACTGTTACCTACTGTTCTCTATTGATCTCTGCAGTTCTCTACTGTTACCTACTGTTCTCTGTTGATCTCTGCAGTTCTCTACTGTTACCTACTGTTCTCTATTGATCTCTACAGTTCTCTACTGATCTCTACAGTTCACTACTGTTCTCTATTGATCTCTACAGTTCTCTACTTTTCCCTACTGTTCTCTATCTCTACTATCCTCTTCTGTTCGCTCCTGTTCTCTATTATCCTCTCCTGTTCCCTACTGATCTCTACTTTTCCCTACTGTTCTCTACTGTTCTTTATTCTTCTCTATTGCTCTCTAGTGTTCTTTTCTGTTCTCTACTGTTCCTTAGTGTTCTTTATTGTTCTCTATTGCTCTCTAGTGTTCTTTTCTGTTCTCTGCTGATCTCTACTGTTCCCTACTGTTCTGTACTATTTGCAACGGTTCTATAGCGTTATTTACTGTTCTGTAATGTTCTCTACTGATCTCTACTGTTCTTTATTGTTCTCTATTGCTCTCTACTGTTCTTTGCTGTTCTCTACTGATCTCTAATGTTCCCTAACGTTCTTTATTGTTTTCCACTGTTCTTCACCATTCTTTTTTCCAAGTGATTCTGGAGCTTTTCTATTGGTCCATTCATTGTGAAATGTTAACACAACGTAAAGGCCAACCGGGATTTGCAAATTATGTCAAAAAAAAATAAAATAAAGTTTTGTCTCGACAGTGACGAGATGTGTCCTGCGCAATTTTTTTTAATTGTTTGTTTTATTTTTTCCAGTATGTTAAACTTCACATATAAATGAAAATTGTGCTCTAATATTTGCAGAACAATGTCATATTTAAGAACAGCTTAGCCAGTTTGCCCTGAAGTCCCTGTAGTTACTGAATAATGAGCTTTAGTATGTAATAAGGCTGGGTTTTTAGAGGATGTGAACTTATGTTCACTTTCAAAATTCAGTCTCGTTCACATCTCCATCTTACTAGTGGATACACTGATACACAAACAGACAGAATCAATCAGTGCGACTGAACTCTACAAAGCAGAGTTACACCCGACACGCCCCACATTCCTGTCCCGTACTGGTCAGACGGCATTCTCTCTGCCTTTTATCTCCACGGTCGACCTGTATATCTGTCCGTGTGAGGTGTGCGGTGAGGAGCAGGTCCCAGCAGGAACAGCTCTGCTCTAAACAGTGCAGTGAGTGCAGGCTGTGTGTCTCAGTCTGAGTGTTTACGGTAGTGTATCTCTTCTATAGGAGAGCCTTATCTTCTCCTACTGCTCTGAGGGAGTTACACTGTGGAACTGTCTCACTGTAAGTGTGGGTGGGAGTATACGGGTTAAGACAGATATGTCAGAGGGAATGTGTTGTATGTTTATGGCCTTTAGGCTTGACCCTGAAAATGCAGTAACGTGAGTAATAATGGGTGGAGTCATGAAAGAAAGGATATAAGAGGAACGGATTCGAAGAAAATGGGTTTAAACGTGAGTTAGGAGAGTCTGTGTGTCAACTACAGCACAAGACTTTCCAAACTACTGTTCTCTAGTGTTCTTTACTGTTCTCTGCTCTTCCCTACTGTTCCTTACTCTTTCTTACTACTGGGACAGTAGAGATCAGTAGATAACAATACAGAGCAGTAGAGAATAGTACAGAACAGTAGTGAGCAATAGGGAACAGTAGAGAACAATAAGGAATAGCAGGGAACAGGAGAGATCAGTAACCAACAGTAAAGAACAGTAAGGAACAGTAGAGAGCAACAGAGAACAAAGAACACTAAGGAACAGTAGAGATCAGCAGACACCATTAATGAACAGTACAGAATGGTACAGAACAGAAGTGAGCAATAGAGAACAGTGGGGAACAGTAGAGATCAATAGAGAAGAGTAGAGAGCAATAGAGAACAGTAGGGAACAGTAGAGATCAATAGAGAACATTAAATAACAGTAGATAACAACAGAGAACAGTAGAGAATAGTACAGAACAGTAGCGAGCAATAGAGAAGAGTAGAGAGTAATAGAGAACAGTATGGAACAGTAGAGATCAGCAGAGAACATTAAATAACAGTAGATAACAACAGAGAACAGTAGAGAATAGTACAGAACAGTAGCAAGCAACAGTGAACAGTAGGGAACAGTAGAGAACAGTAAGGAACAGTAGAGAACAGTAAGGAACAGTACGGGGCATTAGAGAACAGCAAGAAACAGTAAAGAACAGTAGAGAACACTAAGGAGCAGCAGAGAACAGTAAAGAACAGTACAGGGCACTAGAGAACAGCAAGAAACAGTAAAGAACAGTAGAGAACAGTAAGGGACAGTAGGGAACAGTAAGGGACAGTAAAGAACAGTGGAGCACACTAGGGGACAGTAAAGAACAGTAGAGAACAGTAAGGAGCAGTAGAGAACAGTAAAGAACAGTACGGGGCACTAGAGAACAGCAAGAAACAGTAAAGAACAGTAGAGAACAGTAAGGAGCAGTAGAGAACAGTAAAGAACAGTACGGGGCACTAGAGAACAGCAAGAAACAGTAAAGAACAGTAGAGAACAGTAAGGAGCAGTAGAGAACAGTAAAGAACAGTACGGGGCACTAGAGAACAGCAAGAAACAGTAAAGAACAGTAGAGAACAGTAAGGGACAGTAGAGAACAGTAAGGGACAGTAAAGAACAGTGGAGCACACTAAGGGACAGTAAAGAACAGTGGAGCACACTAAGGGACAGTAAAGAACAGTAGGGAACAGTAGAGAATAGTAAAGAACAGTGGAGCACACTAAGGGACAGTAAAGAACAGTAGGGAACAGTAGAGAATAGTAAAGAACAGTGGAGCACACTAAGGGACAGTAAAGAACAGTAGGGAACAGTAGAGAATAGTAAAGAACAGTGGAGAACACTAAGGGACAGTAAAGAACAGTAGGGAACAGTAGAGAATAGTAAAGAACAGTGGAGCACACTAAGGGACAGTAAAGAACAGTAGGGAACAGTAGAGAATAGTAAAGAACAGTGGAGAACACTAAGGGACAGTAAAGAACAGTAGGGAACAGTAGAGAATAGTAAAGAACAGTGGAGAACACTAAGGGACAGTAAAGAACAGTAGTCTCTGTTGCTCTCCATTGTTCTTTACTATTCTCTACTGTTCCCTACTGTTATTTAATGCTCTCTATTGCTCTCTACTGATGCTGCTTTGTAAAGTGACCTTGACCTGATATTATCATTATTAGTAGTAGTATTAATTATTTTTAAAAGGAAATGATTTTAAAAGGAAAAATGTCCTGACATGAATCCTAAAAACATATACGATTCATTTTAGTCCATCTGCACAGAGACCGCTTTAGTACCTCTGACAGTTTTAGCACCTCTGAGGTCACTGTAGTTTCCTGTGGATGATGAGGTTAGCGCATTAAAAAAAAAAACTTTAAAAAAAGACACCAGATGTTTTAACACACTGAGGTAAAGGAACTGTTCAAGGTGGTGGTGATAGGAACCAGACGTCCACCTCTAAAAGCTCCCTCACAGAAAGTTCCTACATGAAATGGTTATGAATTCACTGCCTGATGACTGAGACACTGTTTTACGGTAGTTCTTAAGTTTTAAAATCCATTCATGGTGGAGGGATACATGCAGGGTGTTGTGAGACAAAATAGTCCCCAAAGAAAACTGATTATTTCAGATTTTCCACTGTTTTCCATCATCAACATTCCATACAAACTCAGAAGACTCGTGTAGGTTCACTGGTGGTTCTGGATAGTAAATAAAATGTCTATATTTGTGTTGTAGTCATGGCGACCCCTGGTTCCTATCACCACCACTGTAAAGACATCTGAACCATTTCACACCAAACCCACTCTGAATCTCTCTGTTTACAACTCAAACGCTCAAGTATGAATAAGTTTAACGTGGAGACTCACCGCTATAGCGTGACGAAGCTCGCTGGCATCGTACTCCGCCGGACTCTTCATCATGGCCAGAACCAGCTGCTCAAAATTCCCCGTCAGCTCTGACTTCAGGTCGTGGATCAGATCCTGAGGGACAGGACAGAGATAAAGAACTCAAAAACTCTCTGTGATCCATTTTATTTCCCCGCTGTATTAAAAGTAGATGCCCTTATAAAACAATTCCAGCATAAAGGAAGAACAATAGCGACTCAGCTAATACTGTACACCGATCCCCCCTCAAATACACCCAAATACACACTCTTAAAAAGATGCTTCTTCATTTTATTAGAACTTAGTTCTTGATGTTCTACAGCTTTCATAGTCATTTTAGAATCTCCTACATCAGGACAGGGTTTGTGTTTCTAATAAATTGGCCAGTTAGTGGAAGCACAGGGTAGGTGCTTCTAATAAAGTGTCCAGTGAGTGGAAGCACAAGGTTGGTGTTCCTAATAAAGTGGCCAGTTAGTAGAAGCACAAGGTAGGTGTTTCCAATAAAGTGGCCAGTTAGTGGAAAATGGTTCTATATAGCACCAAAAATGATTCTTTTATTGTTATGATGTCAAGCTTAATAACAGAGTAATAACAGAGGAACAGACCTTTTGGTGCTATACAGAACCATTTTCAAAAAGGTTCTGTTCTGAAAAAGTTAAAGATGATTATCTTTTTGTTTTTGTATTTGTTCTGAGCAAAATACTGATCTGTTTTTTTTGCTGACACAACTCAAACCAAAATCAAAACACACTGTCCACTGGTTTCTTTTTTATGTTTAACAGATTTTTATTTTTGTTTTTTATATCTATGCAAAGACATTTCCTCTTATAATGGCAACAACTTCGCAATCCCTCAGCCCAACAATGTCAACATGACCTATTCACACAAAGCACTAAGAACCATATCAGAAAGAAAAGCCATAAAACTGTCCTTTGGTTTCTGTGCTTTGAGTCACCAGTGATTCTGATCTTTTCTAAGTATCAAAGGGAACCAAAACAGGTTCTACTATGTCATCCCTATAAAGAACCCTTATGGCATCTTTATTTTAAAAAGTGTGAGGTAGTTTTTAGGTCATGCTAGTCTCACCTTGCCGTAGGTGGTCTTAAAAGCCTTGACCATTGGCACCCGCTGCCTACTGGAACGGTTCCCCAACAGCTCGATGATGGCGTTCTCATCAGTTCCTGCAAGATAAACACTATGAATGGCACTGTCTGACGGTAATAAGTGTGAATTGATTTTAATCCAGTATGAATCTGCAGTGTGTGTAGTTTTACAGTCTGACGGTAATAATTGTGGAGTGATTTTAATCCAGTATGAATCTGCAGTGTGTGTAGTTTTACGGTCTGACAGTAATAATTGTGGAGAGATTTTAATCCAGTATGAATCTGCAGTGTGTGTAGTTTTACAGTCTGACTGTAATAATTGTGGAGTGATTTTAATCCAGTGTGAATCTGCAGTGTGTGTAGTTTTACAGTCTGACTGTAATAATTGTGGACTGATTTTAATCCAGTATGAATCTGCAGTGTGTGTAGTTTTACAGTCTGACTGTAATAATTGTGGAGTGATTTTAATCCAGTATGAATCTGCAGTGTGTGTAGTTTTACAGTCTGACAGTAATAATTGTGGAGTGATTTTAATCCAGTATGAATCTGCAGTGTGTAGTTTTACAGTCTGACGGTAATAATTGTGGAGAGATTTTAATCCAGTATGAATCTGCAGTGTGTGTAGTTTTACAGTCTGACAGTAATAATTGTGGAGCGATTTTAATCCAGTATGAATCTGCAGCATGAAACCTGCAGAACTGTTCACAGTGGTGGTGATAGGAACCAGACGTCTCCAGTTCCCTCACAGAAAGTTATTATGTGAAATGTTTATGATTGCACTGTTTCACAATGGGTTTGTTTTATTATGTGTCTGATAATTACAAAGAACAACATTTGAGGGATTCTTTTTGTCTGCCACTGTGTTTATGCAGTATCTGAAGTGTTGATATTGGCTCACCGAAGCCCTTCATGGCTTTGCGGAGAACTTCCACATCTCGGAGAGGATCAGCGCCAGGGCAGTCCTTTATGGTGCCGCGGTAACCGCGCTAGAAAATAATCAAAGCCAACAACAAAAATTAGTTACATCTTCAAATCATAATAGATGATTTTACCTTTAGTTGGACCTTTTCTTCTGGTCCAATATTTACACTGATATCTACATTTATGGCATTTGGCGAATGGTCTTACCCAGAGCGACTGATAAGGGCTCTGTTATCTACCAGGACAAGACTCTTAAGATACCACTAGGGCAGCTACCAAACCGTAATGCAAAACCACATCCTTTTTCTCACTGTCTGTTCAGGTAAAGTGTCAGATTTTTACTGAAGTGTTTAAACAGGAAGGTCTCTGGCTGAAGCAGGTGATCATACTCCGGGCATATGATATTTCAACCCTGCAGCGTAAACATCAGTTCCACCTTGGGTAAATATACTGACAGCGGGGGCAGGTGTGAATCTGTAACGTGCAGAGAGAAAAGCCTCCGTCTGGGGGGCAAGCGAATCCTACCATCGCAGCATATTAATAATAACAACAACAAACTTTATTATGTAGCACCTTTCATGCATACAGTTGGAGAACCATGTAAACGTGTTGATCGGATTACTGACAAAATCTGATTTTCTGCAGTTATCGGATTATTAAGTGCATGTAATCGCACTCACAGTCTCTGGCCTTTAAAAGTTCAGAATATTAGTAGTCAACAACAAAAAACTTCAACCGAATTCACTGTGCATTACGGTGTTTTCACACTAGAGCTTTTTTCCAGACCCGGGATCGTTTGCTCTGTGAGTTCGGTACGTTTGGTCGAGTGTGAAAGCTGTTTTTTCAAGACTGTGATTGGTTCATTTTCTTCCTCTTATCGCATCACTTCTTTTTCACGTTTCGTGATGGGGGGAGGGGACTGCTGTGGATGAAAAGCGCTGGTCTGCACCATCTTAGAGTTCATATCCAAAGAAAATAATAAAAAGCAGCAAACGGACAAAGCTGTACCGGCCATTCTGCAAACCTGCGTGCGGGAAAGTGACGTACGGAATTGCGCAATCGATCCACGGTTCGGGTGGAATCCTTGCGTGTGAAAGCAAACCAGCAATAATGAGGCCCTCTCCCAAACCAACCCTGAATCGGTCGTGGGTGTGGACTCAAGTATTCGGCACAAGTGTGAAAACAGTGTAAGAATTTATGCAAAATGCTGTAAATTGTTCAAAACCCTTTTCATCAATAGTTTCAATGCTTTGTATATACTAATAAACTATAGCCTATAAATTAAAAGATATTTTAGATGTTTGATGTAAATAATATAATGCTGATCTCCACTTTGGAAGTACAAGGCACTGTGGATATAAAAGGGGAATTCCATCACTTTTTCAAAATTTATTTTCCCAAAGTTGTTAAGATGTAAACAGAGTCGTTCAGAGTGGTTTGGTGTGAAATGCTCTGTTCTAGATAAACTTACCGAGTCAGAACTGATCACAGTGGTGGTGATAGGAACCAGACGTCCACCTCTAAAAGCTCCCTCACAGAAAGTGACTACATGAAATGGTTATGAATTCACTGCCAGATGACTGAGACACTGTTTTACGGTAGTTTAAAGTGGTGGAGGGATACATGCAGGGCACTTTTATTTACTATGGTTTTGCATAGTAAATAAAATGTCTATATTTGTGTTGTAGTCATGGCGACCCCTGGTTCCTATCACCACCACTGTAAAGACATCTGAACCATTTCACACCAAACCACTCTGAATCACTCTGTTTACATCTCACACACTGAGCTACGCGAAAAAACGGAACTACTCTTTAATGCTATACAGGACTTTAGAAGTCTATGTAGTTGCTGATCACTGGTCAGTGTTCTTCTCTTACATTAACAGCAGGTATTGCAGGTCCTGCAGGTCCTGATGGTACACCGGGTCCTGATGGTACACCGGGTCCAGCCGGAGCGCCGCCTCCGTATCCAGGCATGGTGGGCATGGACGGGTTGGGGGCAGGAGCGCCTCCTGGATAAGCTGGCATTGGCTGCTGCCCTGGCGCAGGACCTCCAGGGTAACCCTGAGGCATCCCTCCTGGCTGCACACAGAAAAGGCCAGCCATCAGAACCTTATACTGCACTTCATCTGGACTCAGGTGTGAGTGAACACATCTTTTTTTACAGAGAACACACCTAAATATTAAATTTCTCTGCAAATTCTAATGCACCATTTCTATTTATTTGCTAAATTTAACAAAAAATAAAACTTACAATATCAAATGTGCCATAACTTTTGCACCATTCATATTTTATAGTTTATTTTTCGCTCATAAGTTAATTTCAACGAATAGACAATAACAGTGTATTAAAGTGCAGAAGTGTGTTCTCTGTAGAGGATGTTTTAACTTACTTTCAAAAATAAACAACACAGAATTTGACCCGGATGCCAATACTTTTGAATATGACTATCATTTAAAAGACTAAATTATTCCCATAATCTTCCACCAGAGTGTAATGGCTTTTGGTCTGTCTCATGTCGTGTCATAACATTCTGACCACCTCCTTGTTTCTACGCTCATTGTCCATTTTATCAGCTCCACTTACTATATAGGTGCACTTTGTAGTTCTACAGTTACAGACTGTAGTCCATCTGTTTCTCTGATACTTTGTTAGCCCCCTTTTACCCTGTTCCTCAGTGGTCAGGACCCCCATGGACCCTCACAGAGCAGGTACTATTTGGGTGGTGGATCATTCTCAGCACTGCAGTAACACTGACCTGGTTAGTGTGTGTTGCGCTGGTCTGAGTGGATCAGACACAGCAGTGCTGCTGAAGTTTTTAAACACCTCAGTGTCACTGCTGGACTGAGAATAGTCCACCAACCAAAAATATCCAGCCAACAGCATCCTGTGGGCAGCGTCCTGTGACCACCGATGAAGGACTAGAGGACGACCAACACAAACTGTGCAGCAGCAGATGAGCTATCGTCTCTGACTTTACATCTTCAAGGTGGACCGACAAGGTAGGAGTGTCTAATAGAGTGGACAGTGAGTGGACACAGTGTTTAAAACTCCAGCAGCACTGCTGTTTCTGATCCTGACCACTGAAGAACAGGGTAAAAGGGGGCTAACAAAGTATCAGAGAAACAGATGGACTACAGTCTGTAACTGTAGAACTACAAAGTGCACCTATATAGTAAGTGGAGCTGATAAAATGGACAATGAGCGTAGAAACAAGGAGGTGGTCAGAATGTTATTCCTGATTGGTGTATATATATATATTATATACATTAATAACACACAGTATATTTAACATTACTTTAATATTACAACGTATATATACACATATATATATATATATATATATATATATATATATATATATATAAAAAAAACATTTCTTCTTTTTTATCTACAGCTTCGTACTGATTATTTGAAAATTGTGAAATTGAACACTAATAATAATTTTATACATTTATCTCCAAATTGCTTTCACATTATTGAAGACATTGACTCCGAACTTTTGAATGCTAGAGTTAAGAGGTATTTAGGGGCTATAAGATTAACGTTATATGGTAATAAGTATGCAGTGTGTATACTCACCACTCCATAGCCAGGCTGAGCTCCCCACCCACCTGTAAACACAGACAGAATGACTCACCAGCTCATTCATTACTAATGATGTCTTATGATTTACAAAACAATTATTTCCATGGCTATTTTTTTAAATTACAAGTCAGAAAAACTGGCTGGATGTCGTATTAGCATATAGCGGACAGTTAAAGGCGGGGCGGCTAACAGGATAACTGTATCAACAACAAACAAACAACTATGCGCCATGTTAGTTCAGCAGGCCGGTCAGGTTTTTAATAGACGCTCATGAGCTCTCACCTCCAGGGGGCATGGACGGATAGCCTCCAGGCTGAGCCTGTGGATACCCACCACCCTGCTGAGGGTAGCCTGGGTATCCCCCCGGCTGGGTTGGATATCCA